TTTCCTTTCCTTTCCTTTCCTTTCCTTTCCTTTCCTTTCCTTTCCTTCCCTTCCCTTCCCTTCCCTTCCCTTCCCTTCCCCTCCCCTCCCCTTCCTTTCCTTAAGTCTTCTTTGTTACAAACTATTGAAGTAGCAGCATCAGCATATTTGAAGTTAATGATGTGCCAGTGACAATTCCAATTTAATTTAGCATTTCCCATCATATAATCTGAATAATGTATTCTGCAATGGAAGTTAAATAAATAAGGAGATCATTATACAATCCTGGCACATTTCTCAACTTTGTACCATTTCAATTGTTCCGTACAGGTAGTCCTCGAATTTATGACCACAGTTGAGCCCAATATTTCTGCTGCTAAGTGAGACATATGTTTTGCCCCATTTTACGACCTTTCATGGCACAGTTGTTAGGCGAATCACTGCAGTTGTTACATTAGTAACACAGTGGTTAAGTGAATCTGGCTTCCCCTTTGACTTGGCTTGTCAGAAAGTCACAAAATGTGATCACATGACCTTGGGACACTGCAATCATAAATATGAGTCACTCGCCAAGGATCTGAATTTTGATCACCATGGAGATGCTGCAGTGGTCGTAAGCATGAAAAATGGTCGTAAGTCACTTCTTTCAGTGCTGCTGTAATTTCAGATGGTCACCAAGTGAACTTCGTAGGTGGAGGATTATATCTGTATTCTATTCTGACTCTTATTTCTTGGCCTTCATACACATTTATCAATAGGTAGGTGAGGTGGCCCGGGATCTCCAGATTTTCAATGGCTGTCCACAAATGGTTGCAACCTAGAACAGGGGTGTCAAACTGGATTTCTTGTAGGGCCAGATCAGCAATATAATTGTCCACTGTGGGCCAGCCAGGGGGAGGAGGAGGAAGAGACAAAATGGACGCCTTCCTGCAGCACCCTGCCAGCCAAAATGGGTCACAGGCGGGGGCATGGGTGGCCCTTGTGTGCCCCATTTTTGGCATGGGCAGCTTCCTGCAGCTCCCTGCCGGCCAAAACGCCATGTTTGACCAGCAGGGTGCTGCAGGAGGCTGTCCAGGCTGAAAATGGGCTGCGCAGGGGCTGCCCATGGCTCCCTCATGGCCCATTTTTTCTAGCAGAAGCGCCAACCGCGGGCCAGTCCTTTGTTATTTCTAGGCTCCCTCAGGCTGGATCTAACCACCCCATGGACCAGATCCAGCCCACGGGCCTTGAGATTGACACCCCTGGGCCTAGAAGATCAAAAGCCTTCGTGTAATGAAACATCTCTCTTTCCTTCAGCACTAAACTTTATTTCTGACTGAAAATAAGGGGTGGAAATCTGTCTCAGTCTGGCTTCAGAAGCATTCTGGGCTCTACCAATAAAAGGCCAAAAATATATATCCTTCAAAAAAGCTAGAACTTTTAAATGTAGCGATAAAAGGTCTCCGCAAAATAGATCAGGAAATCATCACTATTGGTGATGGTCTGATTGGTTTAAAATTCCCTTGCTGCCTGGGGAATTGTGGGAGTTGAAGTCCACACACTTTAAAGTCGCCAAAGTTTGAGAAACACGGATTTAAAGAGTTTATGCAGGGAGATATTTTTCCTTCATTCACTTCCGTTTAGTGCTTGTTCAAAGTTACAACAGCATTGAAAAAAGTTAGTTGTGACCGGTTTTCATATTTAATGACCATTGCGGCATTCACATGGTCATGTGATCAGAATTTGGACACTTGGCAACTGACTCATATTTATGACAGTGGTCAGATACACTTATAACAACCGTATTACTAACTTAGCAACTGCAGTTATTCATTTAAGAACTGGGTCAAGTAGAGTCATAAAATGAGAGAGAGGGAGGGAGAGAGAGAGAGAGAGAGAGAGAGAGAGAGAGAGAGAGAGAGAGAAAACACAACACAGATGTTGGGACACTTATGCTCAGTGGTGACAGTGGAAGATCTTTCTCTTGTGCACCTAAATATGACAAAGGCTGTATTTTCCTTTCCCCCCCTCAGATTGCGATGGGAATTCCTCTTCACAGGATCAAAGATATCCGGGTCATGTATGGGACTTCCCCGTGGGGGGACACCCCTATTGACTTTGACAGCTCGGCCCATTTGCCTTGTCCACGGGGTCACGTGATCGCAGCCCGTATCACCAGTGAGAACCCTGATGAGGTGAGCCTTCCTATATTTCTGCCATTTTGTCCTACTGATTAAGGCGCTGGGCTGGAAAACAGAAGGCTGTGAGTTCAAGTCCTGCCTTAGCCATGAAAGCCAGCTGAGTGACTTTGAGACCATCCTTTTCTCTCAGCCCAACCCGCCCCGCAGGGTTGTTGTTATGAGGAAAATAGGAGGAAGAAAGTGTGTTGGCTACGTTCGCCACGTTGACTTATTTGCAAAGATAATGTTCTGACCTATGCTTCCTAAGATCATGAAGCAGACTCCTCATCCCAATAAAACCTCTTTTATTTAGGTTAAAGGGAATTCCTCTCTAGCAAAGTCCCAACAAACAGTTTTTCATGAGATTTCACAACTATAAACAGGCTTGGAGAGTTGCCAGGCTGATATCTTCCGAACGCCACGCTGTAGCAGCAATTACTTGGCAAGAAACCTGGAACAGATCTTCACCCTATTGATTTGAACTAATTGTCCCCTGCAAACACTACTCCCCTTTCGCTCCTATTTATTCCCTATGGAAGGGGCCATTCACCGTCCACCTGAGCCTTTACTCCTGAGTTGACCCTTGTTCATTAAATGTTCCCTTCTCCTGGCAGCTGTGTGCATGTGCACACTGGGAACAGGCTCCAGCTGCTCTTCTGCCCCACTGATCTCCGACTCCGAAGGCAGATGATCACTGTCGGATGGCCCTGGCCCCATCTCTGCCTCCGATGCAGAGCCTTCCCCAGACTCCAGGACTGGCCCATGTTCCTCCCCAACCTCCTCACTGTCCGAGTCTGCTGCCAGCTCCGCTAGCTTCTGGCGGGCCACAACAGATAATAAAGATGGGATCATCTTCTCTCAGCCCAACCTTGCAGGGTCGTTATGAGGAAAACAAAAAGACAAAGGTGTATTGCCTATAAATTAACCGCCTTGAATTATTTGTAAAAATAATGAAAGTGGGCTATAAAAAAAATACAAATCTATAGGAAGTGGAGTCTTTCCTTGAGTTGAAGTCCACACATCTTAAACTTGCTGGTTGGGGGATTCTGAGAGTTGAAGGCCACACATCCTAAAGTTGCTGCTGAGGTGGAAAAAAGATGTTTCCCTGTGGATGTTCCTCTTGCCCTGTTAAAAATGATGACTTTTAAAATGAATAATTCCAATGCAGTCAGATGTGGGTCTGTGTATATGTGTGTGTGTGTTTAAAAAAAAACGTTCCGTTGTATATTCCAGGGATTTAAACCCAGTTCTGGAACAGTCCAAGAATTGAACTTTCGCAGTAATAAGAACGTCTGGGGTTATTTCAGCGTGGCTGCCGCAGGAGGCCTTCATGAATTTGCAGACTCTCAGTTCGGCCACTGTTTCTCGTGGGGAGAAAACCGTGAAGAAGCCATCTCGTAAGTAAGAAGGAGCAGGGAGAAATGCTCTTCTCTTGATTTCTCTGCTGATCGTAGAAGAAGAATCGGGTGGTTTGATCTCCTTTGGCTTAGTTGCCCGTGTGGAATTATATTTTTACAGATTAGTCCTTGATTTACATAAAACCAGGGGTGGGCTTCAAAAAATTTAGCAATGGGTTCTCTGCTTGGTTGCTGGGTGGGAGTGTCCATGGTGGGCGTGGCCTAGTGTTTTTGCCCTCCCCAGACTCCTGAGGCTTTCTGTGAGCCTCCGGGAGGGCGAAAACAGCTTCCCCGGGCTCCGGAGGCTCTCTGGAGGCTGGAAATGGGCCCATTTCCGGCTTTCTTGAACTTCTGGAAGGCCCGTTTTTCACCCTCCCCAAGCTTCCACACACGCCCTGCCCTTACCTGCATCCAAAATGGGCCACGTGGGGACTCCTGGGACGGGTGGAGTGGGAATGGCGGGGCCAGCCAGAAGTGGGGTTTGGGGGTTCTCTGAATGATACAGAATCTTAGCTAGGGGGTCTTCCGAATCCCTGTGAACCCCCAGCAGCCCATCCCCGCTTTACAACCATTTGTTTAGTGGCTGTTCAGAGTTACAGTGGCATTGAAAAGATGACTTACGACTGGTCATTGCACTTATGACTGTTACGGCATGTATCTATGACGGTTGCAGCATCCCAGGGTCATCTGAGCGCCATTTGTGACCTTCCCAGATGACTTCTAATCGGCAGTGAAGGCAGCCAGATTCGCTTAACGTCCACATGATTCCTGTGACAAATGCAGTGATTCACTTAGCAACCATGGCAAAAGAAGGTCATAAAATCAGCACAATTCACCTCACAATCACCTTGTTTATGAATGGACATTCCAGTTCCGGTTGTGGTTGTAAGTGAAGCACTTACCTGCACTCATCTGAATGCAGTTATTACCAGGGTAGACACAGGTAGTCCTTGACTTACAGCCATTCATTTAGTGATCAAAGTTACAAGAGCACTGACAAAAATGACTTATGACCCTTTTTCATACTTATGACAGTTGCAGCATCCCCATTCAGACACTTGCTACCGGATGCATACACGTAGTCCTCGACTTATGACTGCAATTGAGCCCAAAATTTATGTTGCTAAGTGAGAAATTTGTTAAGTGAATTTTACCCCATTTTACGACTTTTCTTGTCACAATTGTTAAGCGAATCATTGCAGTTGTTAAAATAGTAAGACAGTTGTTAAGTGAATCTGGCTTCCCCATTGACTTTGTTTTCCAGAAGGTTGCGAAAGGGGATCACGTGACCCCGTGATGCAGCAACCTGTCATAAATGTGAGTCATCCAAATATAAACCATGTGACCATGGGGTGCCGCAATGGTCATTCAGTCACTTTTTTCAGTGCCATTGTAACTTTGAATGGTCATTAAGCGAACTGTTGTAAGTCGGGGACTACCTGTACTTATGACAGCTGAAGTGTCCCCAGAATCATGTGATCAATTTTTGAGACCTTCTGACAAACAAAGTCAATAGGGAAGCCAGATTCACTTAACAACTGTGTTACTAACTGAACAACTGCAGGGATTCGCTTAATAACTGTGGCAGGGAAGGTCCGTCAAATGGGACAAAGTTCGCTTTACACCTGTCTCACTTAACAACATAAGTTTTGGGCTCAATTGTGATCGTAAGTTGAGGACTATCTGTACTACAGTAGTTTTTAAATAAAACATCTTGTTATAATAGACCAGGGGTCTCCAAACTTGGCAACTCTTAAGACTTGTGGACTTCAACTCCCAGAATTCCCCAGCCAGTGTAAGACTTGTGGACTTCAACTCCCAGAATTGTCCAGCAAGCATGATTAGCTGAGGAATTCTGGGAGCTGAAGTCCACAAGTCTTTAAATTTATTTATTTTATTTTTAAAAAAACAAAATTACAAATCTTTATTTACATTAATGTCATTCGTGTTGTTATTAATACATATATCTCCTTTTATACCTAAACATCGATTATTATTTCTATCTTCCACCCATTTGTACCACCTATCCCAAACTGCATAATAGTCCGAATCATCTCTGCCTTTTAGTTCCGCTTTGAATTTATCCATTTCCGCACAGTCCATTATTTTTTATATCAGGTCTTCTTCAGATGGGTATCTTTTTTTTTTCCATCCCTGTGCGAAGGCTATTCTCGCCACTATTATAATATGTATAATGATGTATCGGATGACCTTGCTAAATTTTCCCTTAATTATTCCTAGTAAAAATATTTCTGGTTTGAGTTCTAATTTATGATCTGTAATTTCTAATAGCCATCTTTGTATCCTCATCCAATATTTTTTAACTTCTGGGCATTGCCACCACATATGGAAAAAAGTCCCTTCTTTAGGTTTACACTTCCAACATTCTACTTTTGTATTTGGATACATTTTGGTCAGTCTTGCTGGAGCTAGGTGCCATCTACAAAACATTTTGTACTGATTTTCTTTAAATGCTGTCGACAATGTCAATTTATAGTTACCAATCCACATTTTTCCCCAATCCTCTAAATTTATATTGTGACCCATGTTTTTTTGCCCAGGCAATCATTGACCCCTTAAATGTGAAAGGTTTAAGTATTTAAAATAAGGAAAACCTGAGAGGTTTGGGGTAAGTTATAAAACAGAAGTCCACACATCATAAAGTTGCCAAATTTGGAGACTCCTGTTATAGATCTTTCAGGACCAGGAACTTCCATCCTACAGCCTCCAGGATGGAAGAGGAGTGATATTCTGGTGATATTCTCCAGTTTATTCTCAGACTTGATTGCCTTTTTTAAAAAATCTTCAGAAATATGGTTGTTGCTCTGAAAGAACTGTCCATTCGAGGCGACTTCAGAACCACCGTGGAGTACTTGATTAAGCTGCTTGAAACGGAAAGCTTTCAGCACAACCGCATTGACACTGGTTGGCTGGACCGGCTGATTGCAGAGAAAGTGCAGGTAATCTTCTTCTGGCACAGAAAGGGACGGAATAGATCCAAAAAGAAAAACTGCAGCCTTTTAATGTGGGTTATCTGTCTGTAGGAATGTGCTAAATAGATCCCATTCTATCGATAGAAGATAATATTTGCAGCTCAGGGTTCAGCTGTGGACACTTTGGTGCTCTCTGAGCTTGGAGGTTTTCTTGCAGACGTTTCACGATCCAACTAGGGAACATCATCAGTGCTGGAAGGGAGTGGGGTTTGTGGAGAGATGGAGGAGGAGGAAGAGGAGGAGGAGAAAGGAGGAAGGAAGAAGCAGAGGAAGAGGAGGAGGAGGAGGAGGAGGAGAAGAAGAAGAAGAAGAAGAGGAGGAGGAGGAGGAGGAGGAGGAAGGAAGAAGCAGAAGCAGAGGAGGAGGAGGAGGAGAGGGGAAGGAGGAGGAGAAGAAGAAGAAGAAGAAGAGGAGGAGGAGGAAGAGAAGGAGAGGAGGAGGAAGAGGAAGAAGAGGAGGAGGAGGAGAGGACACCTAGTTTAGTGGTTTTATTGCAGACGTTTCATGACCCAACTAGGTAACAATACAACATCAGTGCTAGGTTGATGTTCCTGCAAATTTCTCTCATCTGCCTGCTTTGATGTCCATATGTGGTGCCAACAGAAGAGAATATTTGTAGTTCAGGGTTGAACCCTGGGGTCCTTGGTGCTCTCTGAGCTTGGTTGCATTCTTGCAGATGTTTCATTACCCAGCTAGGAAACATCATGGGCATTGATGATGTTACCTATTTTGGTAATAAAACTTCTGTAAGAAAACCACCAAGTGCAGAGAGCCCTGGGGACCCCTCAGATCGAATGGTGGTGAACTCTCCAAATGTGTCCACTTGGGCAGTTCTGTTTGGCCATTGGAAAAGGAGAAAGTTCTCCAGATGATTGAATAGGCCTCCCAGTAAAACAGGAGGCACACGAGAAGGAAGGAGGAGGGGGGAAAACTTAGTTAGAACAGATTAAGAAAAAGATATTGGCACTCGTTTTAGTCCCGAGTTTTCTAAACCAAACTCTGAAAAGTTGACAATTGGTGATACTAAAGGTTGAGCCATGGGCTGCTTCATCCTTAATTTACTAATATAAAGAAGTAATTTTTTTTTAAATAGCCTCTTCCTCTCTTTTTCATCTAGGCGGAGAGACCAGACACCATGCTGGGAGTGGTGTGTGGGGCCCTACATGTGGCTGATGTCAGCCTGCGGAATAGCATCTCCAACTTTCTCCACTCCCTGGAGAGGTAAAAACCAGATTTTCAGCACTGACATTCCTTAAAACTTCCTGTTTGTCACTTTGTCTCCAGAGTTCTTTCCTTGAGTATGTTCTAAGCGATCTTGCAGAATTGGTAGTGGAGAACATATAAGCTTGTCCAACTCACAAAGTCATACAGGGTTGATTTCCTAGAGAATAGTGGCCTATTGAGAGCCAGTTTGATATAATGGTTAAGGCATCAGACTAGAAACTGGGAGATTGTGAGTTCTAGTCCCATATTTGGCATGAAAGCTGGTTGGGTGACTT